ATAATGGGATGCCTAATATTTTCAAATTTAAAGGGATTATTTTACAAATTTTGGGCTAATTTAGGAAATATTTAGACATAAAATTGAGGAAAATATTTAAGGAGTGGTAAGCATATTAAAGTTGCAAGTGACAAAATGTGTATTTCATTAGCAGATTTTGAATTAAAAAAAAAAATATAGTTGTAAATTTAGAAAATAATTGTAATAATGCATATATATATATATATATATATATATATATATATATATATATATATATATATATATACCTCCACTCACTATATATATTTATATAAAATATAGATATATATATATATATATATATATATATATATATATATATATATATATATATATATATATATATATATATATATATATATATATATATATATATATATATATATACATAGATATATATATATATATACATATATATATATATATATATATATATATATATATATATATATATATATATATATATATATATATATATATATATATATATATGAGTCATTTTCCAATATATATTTTACCATTTTCAGTGAATTTTAGGTGGAAATTTTTGGTATTTATATTTTTTTCTCCAAAATATTTAATTTCTTATATTTTTTTAATTTTCTGAATAAACCTTTTATTTTTGTCATTTTGAGTTTCTTCATTTTTTTTCTTAAATGTCTTCGGATAGTTCAAACATCCTAAGATTACAAACATGTTTACAATCCTATTATTGTTGAGAATTTTGAAATACCGGAAGACATTTAAGAAAAAAAATGAATAAATTCAAAATGACAAAAATAAAAGGTTTTATTCAAAAATCTAAGAAATTAAATTTTTCGAAGAAAAAAAAATATCAAAATTTACCAAGTAAAATTGACCGAAAATGTTAAAAAATTTAGTGGAAAAGGACTCAAATAAACCCTTATATTTATAGGCTTAACAGGGTATTTTCGTCATATTTTGGAAATAATATAGCAGCAGGGGGGTTTTTGTATTTATGGGTAGTACAAGGGGGTATATAATACAAAGTCCATAGTACAGGGGTGTTTTTGTATTTAACTCTTTGTTTAATTTTGTAGTTTGTTTACATTTGTAGAGAGTGGTAAAAAAGGAAAAATGCAATTTTATTATTAAAATAATATTTTAATTTTGTTAGTTAAAAGATTTTTATTAGATAATTCACATTAATTTAACAAATTTAGCAAAATATTTAATCTATTGAATCATACATCTTACTAACTAAATAATCTAATGAATCATACATCTCCGGCGGTGACTATATATTTTTTTTTTTTTTTTTATAATTTTGTTTTTTCTTAAAATTAATATTTTAATTAATATTACTGTCTTGGCTGCTAAATTACTGTCTCCGACAGTTATTTAACTGTCGGAGACAGTAATTTAACAATTAATTGACTTTTTTTTTCTTCAAAAATATTTTAATTAATATTACTGTCTTTGCTACTAAATTACTTTCTCCAACTGTTATTTAACTGTCGGAGAGAAGTAATTTAACTGTTAATTAACTTTTTTTAAAACTATTTTAATTAATATTACTGTATTTGTTGCTAAATTACTGTCTCAAGCAGTTATTTTACTGTCGGAGACAGTAATTGAACTGTTAATTGACTTTTTTAATGAATACTACTGCCTTGGTTGCTAAATTACTGTCTCCAACAGTAATTTAACTGTCTTAGACAATAATATTAATAATATTACTGTTCGGGAAAATAATATTCATAATATTACTGTCCCAAACGGTAATATACTGTCTGAGACAGTAATTTAGAAGCCAAGACAGTAATATTAATTAAAATATTTTTTCTAAGAAAAAAAAAAAAAAAAAAGTCAACGCTGGAGACCGGCGGTCAACCACCGGTCAACAGTGGTTGCTGGCCAGAAAAAATTTCAGGAAAAACAAATTTAAAAAAAAAAAAAAAAAAAAGTCAACGCCGGAGATCGCGGTCTCCGGCGGTCAACGTCGGAATCGGGCCTGAAAAAAAAATTCAGAAAAAAAATTATTTTCTAAAAAAAAAAATTTTTGTGGGTTAATGTGATATATTTGTTTAAATCCGGGGTCAATGTGTAATTTTAAGGAAGTTAGAGCATAATAGATGAAATTGATAAGAATTATATTATGGAGGGTATTTTAGACTAAAGACATGGGGATGGGTTAACTTGAGAGACTGTTTTTTTTGTGGACTAAAATGCATGTAAGTCCCATGTGATGGGCCTTTTTGCCATTCGCCCATAATTAATTAGTCAATGGGATATTAATCCAATTTCACATAATTCAGTGTAATAGGATATAGGTGAATAAAAGAGGCCTAATTAGTATATTCTATGTTAGATAAAAAAATAATATTGATATATTATTCAAAAACAGTACAGAGTATTAGGAGTGAACAAGTCGGACTCATCAACACGTTGAACCCGTCGAACCTGGTAAAACCGTCCCGCTAGGACCGGGCGGATAGATCCATCTAGGCATGGCCACGGTCGAGTCGGACCCGTCGGGTGCGGGTCCGACTTTTAGGGGACCCGAAACCGACCTGTGGGGAGGCGGGTCCGAATTCGGGGCGGGTCCACCTGGGTCCATCCGGGTCCGGGTCCACCCGGTTTTTCAATTTTTTTTACAAGAAAAAAAAAACTTATATTGAAACTTGAAAAAACATGAGATTAGCTCTAAATTCAAAATTAAAAAATAATTGAATTTAAATACTAAACAATTTTAGAAAAAAAAAATGAAACGATTAAGACTTTGAGACATAAACTAAATAAAATGAAAGGTGTGAAGATTGAATTATGGGGTTTTATAAGTGAAAGGTAATAATTGAAAAAAAAATTCGAAATTCAAAACATATCAAAATTCAATCTTTCTTTCAAATTAAAACATATTTTTTTTATAGTTTTCAAAATGAAATATGTATGCATTTTATCATATTCATTATTATTAAATAATTTTAATTAAATTATTAACAAATATAATATAATTAAAAAAATAAAAGAAATTAAAAGGATTTGATCTTAATCATTTAAATCGTACGATTCGATTCTAATATTTGAATAAAATGTAAATGTAAAAAAAATGATTAGATCATATGACCTACAATTTAATTATTTGCGATTTTTACAAATTAAACCAATTATTAAAAGAGAAATCACATCATAATATTTTGATTATACTCGTCATATATAGTTTTAGTTTAACGTAAAAAATTAATTAGAATGAGATATAATCTATTTTTGTTAAAATAAACATCATCTATATTTTTAAATAATTATTTTATGATAAAATAATCAATAATTTTAATAAGTTCTTGTCAACAATTGAGGTTAATCAATTTAAATTAATTGAAATGAGTTATAATTTAATTTTTTAGATAAACATCTTATTTTATTTTTCATTCGTATTTTTCACACTATCGATTTTAATAACATAAGTGAGTTTGTATTAAGTCAACGCGTTTGTTTATATATTGAATTGATTCAATACTATATATTTTTCAATAGTGGAGATTATATTGATATAGTAATTAATAATAGATGTTTTGAAGTATTGAACCGTGATTCTATATATATTTTTAAATTTTTCTTATATTGCATTTGCTAATAATTTAATTAAAATTATTTAATAATAATTAATATGAAAATTAATAATTTATACATATTTATCATTTTACACTAGCATTTTATATTATATATATTTCTTGTCTACATTTAGTCAAATATGTTTGTTGTCCCAGTGGTTAGAGTTCCCCAACTGTGCCCATCAACCCAGAGTTTGAATCCCCCAATGCCCAATTTTTGGACAAAAATAACCCGAAACCCGGGTTGACCCGACGGGTCCTCGAGCCCCCCGCCGGGTAGACCCGTCGGGTCTCGGGTCTAGATATTTTGAACCCGAAACCGACCCGTGCTTGGGCGGGTCCGGGTCTGTGGTCAACAGGGCGGGGCGGGGCGGTCAACGGGGCGGGTCCGGGTTAAACCCGACCCGTGGCCGTGTCTAGATCCATCAATAGGATTGGGTCCTGAAATGGGAATGATCTGCGGGTTTGGATTTAAGACGGGTTCAAGTTTTTTTTAATATCCGTGAAACCCGTCTCACCCCGCCGTACAAAACGACGTCGTTTTGTTTATATTGTGTTTTATAATAAATTAATAATGTATTATACATGAAGAAAATATCTATTACACAACCCGACGGGTCCTCGAGCCCCCCCGCCGGGTAGACCCGTCGGGTCTAGATATTCTGGACCCGAAACCGACCCGTGCTTGGACGGGTCCGAGTCTGTGGTCAACGGGGCGGGGCGGGGCGGTAAACGGAGCGGGTTCGGGTTAAACCCGACCCGTGGTCGTGTCTAGATCCATCAATAGGATTGGGTCCTGAAATGGGAAAGATCTGCGAGTTTGGATTTAAGACGGGTTCAAGTTTTTTTAATACCCGTGAAACCCGTCTCACCCCGCCGTCAAAACAGCGTCGTTTATTAATAATGTATTATACATGAAGAAAATATCTATTACATGTCAAAACTTATACCTATAACTGTTAGAGTAGGTGACCGGCAAGCCAACTTGTGGCTGTGGTCTTTCTCTTTTCTTTGTAATAAAACAATCGTTTTTCGTTCGTAATAATAAAATATCTTATTTGGCATTCTATATCTGTTATCCCATGCAAGCAGCATAGATATAGTCCTAACGAGTTACTCTATTACTGTGAGTTGATCTAGTAGAATCGTGAGATAACTCAG